ATTAGTTTTCATCGAAGTTTCACAGGCCAGTTTATCGCCCTCATCGCTGCCCTGCGGGTCCTGGTACCCTAAAAGGGAAAATTTTGTTAGTGTCATTTAATGCCCAAAGAGCTTTGTAATTCCAATTTTGTCTGGCTGTCCGATTTTTTTTTTTTTAACGAGGGTTCGCCAGGGTGCCGGTTTTAGATTCTTATGGATAGATAGACATAGAGAAGCATGTCAAGAGGTTGGTATGTTATGGACAAATAAAAAACCGAAAGACACTGTTGATGGTGGATGAGGTGTATTTTTAGAGAGAGAGAGAGAGAGAGAGAGAGAGAGTGTTGATTTGGTCCTCCGGGGTGGATTTTTTCTGACATAATTAATTGTTATTCAAATTGAACTGAATAACCTATCAGGACGATGAATTTAGTTTCTCAAAATCATACTGAATCGCAAATTAATTCTTAAACATAAGCACTTCCATGTGAGGAGAGGCGAGAGAAAAGGTAGTAGAAGAAAAAAAGAACTTTTTACTTTTTATTTTATTTATTTTTTATAACGAGGGCTTGCAACAGCAGAGTTATATCAACCCTCGAGGTGCCGGTTATTTTGCAAAAAAAACGCCCAGCTGGATTCGAACCCGGGACCTTTATCTTACAATGATGAGCGCCGTGTCAACGCCTACCATTGCGGCCACCGACGCCCCCTTCCGATTTAGTTAGTAAATAAACAATCATTACTAATCAACACGATGCACGCTTAATAACCTAATCTCTTAAGTTTATACCTTTAAACAGACTTCATTATCTATACATTTGTTAATTTATGAAAATGAATTACATTTTACCAGTCATTTTTATAAATTATGATTGAAAATTGAATGAGATTCTATTCTAAATCGGATATCGTCCACGATCTTAAAAAATGTGACAACAAATTGTTGCACAAGTCGTCCGCATTTTATCAAACGGGTCTGCAATTTATTTGTCAACAAAATGCGCCATTACCTAGAAAAATTAAAGAAAAAATTCCATTCTTACTTAACATGCCATGAGAAGATTGAAAATTTACTTTATTCATGAACTGAAAATATGAACATAAGATAACACGAATATTGACACGTTTGACTAGGTCGTGTCATAGTTTTCCGCTCAAATATCCCTCGAGTGGCAATAAACAAAAGCATTTTTGTTGTCATCTTCTATTATCTCGAATGAAATAAGTAGAGCATGACACCTCTTTTTAAAATGTGTGTTTACACTCCACCGGTATGTCAGCTACGTTAAATTACACGTGAAAACCCTTCGGTACGACAAAAATTCTACCGTAAAACGGGGATTTTAACACCAAACCATTGATACTAGAACAAATTCAAAATCTGTAACAATTAATTATTTCGAAAATATGTAAATATTGTAATCCACTTTTTTATTGGACGATTTGGCATACACGAGCGTTCTATTAAACTGTAAACAACCGTCGTTAGCATAAATCCGTTCGAATCAACATGGCGGTCTTTCATTTTCGTCTTTCTTCAAATGAAATTTTTACTGCAATTATATCCCGGATGCCACGATTTTCCATATCAATCACATAGCGGCAAGGAACAAAAACGACTAAAGGTGTTTTATGTGCAGTGGCCGATCGAGGAATATTCCACCGATTAATCAGAATGTGGGCAATATACAAAGGTGTGAATGTATTTATTTGCGGGACTGTATTAGAAAGGTTATTTAGTTTTAGGCTAGATTATAGTTTGCATGTGTTGGGGTTGTACAGCGTGGGGACCAGAACACTGCCCTGAGTTACACCTGCAAAAATATATTGTAAAGACGCCGACCCTTCAATGACACGGCAGTACCGGTCAGTTAAGTAGCTAGGTGGATTAGGTAGTAGGCAAACTAACAACAAATAATGACAAAGAGTTATAAATAGACTGCATACTGGTTGAGCCTCTATAAGAAGACAAAATACTAATAGCGCGATTTATTATAAGTTAATCACTCACCTAGAAGTTTAGGAAATATCTAGGTCATCGTATGATTCTTCCAACAGCGCGCAGGGTTGGATGGAATATGACGGTATGGGAAGTTTTTCAAATAATGTTTGTAGTAATAGGAAGGATGTTTGACCGTTTGGCTTAACCCCAGACTTCTAATCTGTATGTTCAAATTATTTTTAGTTTGAGTTTGTAAAGTAGCTTTTTGCCGAGTGTGATAAGTTTGAATAGTTTTGTCAGTTCTTGTCTTTTAAGCCTTGTTTGTTGGTTTCACGCCAGAGCTTTGAGTATGTACATCCCGAGCGTCATTTTGTCCATATATTAGAAGACGAACGATTGAGATGGAGAACGACTTTTCCTACGAAGTGTGAAGGTTATTTTTGGTAAAGACTGCAGTGGTTAATGTGTTGTGATGTTTTCGATTGACATATAGTGGATGGAGGTTTGGAGTTACACAAGATAAAGTTTGGTCAGTGCACTGCTCTGAGGAAAGATGCAGGGAGGTAATTTACCGTCAATAACTCGAATAAACCGTCGGTTGAGTAGTTGGTAAGAGACAGTCAGGCAGGTGGAGCTATGCTGTCTACATTCTCTCGCAGTTCTTCGAATGTTTCCTCAGAACTAATTCATCTTAAAATAGTATTTTTATGATTTTTTCTCCTATAAATACATCTTTTTGAAAAATTCAACGAGGTTATTTATAAACAAAGAAAACAATAAGAGTTTAATATGCAGCCTGATACCACTAAAGAATCTCTCGAGTCCCCAAACACAGGCTCTTGAATACGAATGCAATACGAACCTCTGAGATAGCCCATCCTTGGAAAACTTGGAAATACTTCCGGTTTTCAAATTCGCAGTGACAGTAGTATTGACACTAGTTTTAACTGTGCTGCCATGCGTAGGTTCCGAAAACCTTTCTGTGGGTTAGCTGTATATAAGAGAATAGGTGGAGAGAATGCTGTCCACATTCTCTCGCAGTTCGACTGTTTCCGCATGATTAATGTTGGATAATATCCTACAGTTTGAATTAAGTATACACATGTCTTTTTGAAGTAGTAACATTTTTTAAACTTCATTTTTTTAAATTAGCTACCCTTTTTAAACTCTCTTGCCTTTTTAATTACCCTTATTATCCTTAATAATTTATTCTACGCCGGAATTTCATCATTAAAGAAACAATTTCATGTTATCTTCTTTGAAGGTGGACTTTTTTCCTCCCTTTACGATATTGACGGAGTTTCCTCCGTAATTATTTATATTCAGCTCAATCAGAAGTTGATTTATTTTCTCTATGAAGTAAATAATTGTGTTACCGGTATACAGTCTTGAAGTGAATGTTACAACTATAAATAATAAAATATTCTTTTAAGCAAGTACTTTATTGTTGTGGAAAGATAAGACGAAAAATGCCAGCTAATGGGACCACATAATAGGAAGAGGGTCTTCTTGACCGCCCTTTGCATCTGTCCTCCAAACTACGGTTACACTTGGCAACAGATTGTGCCAGAACTCAAATTGAGTAAAATTTTAATAAGCACACTTAATGCATTCCAGCGCGAAAATATTTTTCGCAGTACGCAGTTCAAATTCTGCAAAGCTGCAGCCGGCCATGTCCAGTCTCCAGGAGCATCGGCCAGACCACCTGGTCAGCAGAAGTTTATTGGCCAGAAAAATCGGCGACCGAGTGGATGAAAAAATAGAGAATAGTCGCAAGTAGCTTTATCATTTATATGGGATGTAAAAATGAGCTTACGGTTCATTACCACCCAATGTTTGACCAACCTGTACACGGCAACATCCTTGCTGAACAACATCCCTGCTTGGCCGCGGTTTTAAAATAATTAATATGGTCAATTATGACCTCTACACATATTTGGATTATGATTAATTTTGATTTTCTAACGGTTGCATAAACATCCTACGCGGTCACTGCTATGTTTTTCCTGTTCAATATTGTATCTATTGTCAAAGATTTTTTTTAGAGCTGTCGGGCCGCCTACTTTCGCGTAGAAAGTTCCAATTAACTTGCTTGAGAGTGTTCATTTTATTGGTGTATTATCAGTTTTACCTGCATTTCTTTTATAAATATGACAGATTAAGTGATCTTTTTTGTTTGATGTTGTTTTATGGCTCATCCTCCGGGTCCGCATTGTTTCGCTATACGGATGTTTACCAAAGCACAACCTAGTCATAAGGGGTCGTAATCTAAAATTTAATATTAAAAATGTACAAAATATTGATACATTTTATATTAAAACACAGCCAGACATCTGATGTATTTAGTAGACATAATTTATATTTAGTACTGGGCGACTGTGTGTCCGCCTGGTCTCGCCCCATCGTGTTATTCAGTACTTATAGATTCGTGACCTGAATTGATTTTTTTTATTAATGAGCTGTTTTGGGTTCATTCTTGGTTAAATTATTATTTTATGTTTTTTATTTTTTTTTGGGGGGGGAGGGGTTACAATGAAAAATTTCCTATCTAATACAGAAGGATGATTTATTTTATTTGAAAAATATTGACGAAAAGAAATAGAATTAGAGTGAGAGCTCAGCTTCTGAGTCCGTCTAGTTTCGCTGTGAGATCGATAATAGACACCCTTTAATTAAGATAGTAATGAAATTCATTAAGTATTTATTCATCATATAAACCACATTTTAATAAGGTAAATTTTACTCTATTTTATTACGAAATAAATAAAGGTTCGTTTCCCTAATTTTACGTAAAGTAGAAAGAAAATTAGTCAATTAATTTATAAACCTTTATTTTCTTTGTTTTTACTTTATCGCTTAATAAAAAAATTTTTGTTTACATTTTTCATTGTTACGTTGTCTTTCTACTACGTTCTACTAAGAATTGTGTTTGTTTAAACAAAAAAATAATCGATTTTCTTCTGATATGAGGAGAAAATTGAGTGTTTTCCTTGCAAATTTTTTTTTTGAAAATAAAGAACACTTTGGGCCCAGTGGCCGCCTTGGTCCTTTTGGACTTTTTGAAAAAGAGATCAAAGCCGTTGCGATATCACAGGGGTTCAGTCACCCGTGGCTCAAATCGGTCGAGAATAGCTTACCGCTCGGTTTTTCTGGAACAATCAGGAGTAACCCAATTTTCGAAACACTTCCTGGCCTCTGTTGAATGCGTAGACAAATTTCATGGAGAGGGTCGTCGCTCCTCTGGACGGGCAAAACGCTGACGGGAACCGGGTAAACAAGGAAAATCGCCGGACGTTTCGAGCATAGGTGGGTTTTTCTGAAATTCACACATACAATTTTGTTCTGATGTGAAGCCAATTGTAAAAAGAAAACTCAGACACAAACCTGAATAAGCTGAAAATACGCATGAAAATTGTAAGGACAAGAAGCTATGTTTAAACCGCTATAAATCATAAATTAGGCTTATTATTTCAAAATTTGAGAAATTGAAAGCTAAGGAAGCATTTTTTTCAACGCTCGCACCTACAAAGCATTATTTTACTATTTGCAGGGAAAACTGATATGTTGTAGTTTATTTTATGTTGGAATTTGACTTTATATGAAATTTGTTTAGATTGTAATATAAGCAATAGTTTAGGAAATTATGGGACTTGTGCAATTTGTACGTTTGTGTTTGAGTATGGACGATTACTGGACCAAGACTGCAGGCCAAATCAATACGGATATTAAGTGGCACCCAAAGACATGCCTAACTCAGCGTCACTGGAGCCATGAGCACAACGCCAACCGCGGCCCTGGAAGTGTTGTTAAACCTCCCACCACTTCATATTTTAATCCGAGGAGAAGCCAGAGCAGCAGCTCACAGGCTCATAAATGGCCAACTATCTGCAAGGATAGGTCATGTAAATAAGCAATGGAAACTAAAGGAGGAGATACAGGCAGATGCCAATTTAGGCATGCCAGTTGATGCCCCTACTCCAAAATACAATTTTACGTACAAGGTTAATTTTACGTTTAGTACAAGGTACTTTATTCACAAGGGAGAATGGGCCAAAGGAACACCGCTAAAGGCAAACTTCTACTGGTATACTGACGGCTCCAAAGCTGAAGGGCACGAGAGCTGGAGTCTTCAGCTTGACTCCAAAGCCCGAACTGACGGTAAACCTAGGTAAATATGCTACAGTTATCTTACAAAAGAACTACTGGAAGGCAACCGCAACCAAACCAGGATCCTGGTTGGACTCCTGACAGGACATGACGTTCCCGCATAGTCGGTGGTCCATAAAAGGACAATGAGGATATTTAACGTCCGCACCTGGCCGATTAGGCCTTGTCGGACGTTTTGATTCTCAGGTGAGAGCTGACGCACTTCCGGATACGACTGACGGGTGTTACAGCCGCAGCGTTGGCGTAGAGGCCGCCCCAGCCCCGAGGGGCCAAGACAAAGTTCGCTCCCCGCTTGCCCATTCCGAGTGGTTGGGTCGCATTGAGCATTGAACCGTATGCCGCGCGCAAAGAGCTACCTAGGCTGAAATACATCAGCCTGGTTTCCCGCGCACTCCCTAGATAGAGAAGATCAGTCTATCTCCCAGAGTATTGGGGCTCCCCTAGCATAGAAACTTCCGGATCCGCTCCCTCCGCGGTTTTGTTAAAAGTGGAATTGCTAGCCACTCCCTAGAGGAGACTGCCTTCGGTAAAGGTCGCCATTCGTGTACATTACATACTTCGAACAGGCGCGACCGACCACTGTCCATTCCCATCCGCCACTTCTCACGTATTCGAGGGACTCCGTCAGTTAGTCTAAGCGTCCTTAACGCTATACGCTTCGATGGTCCGATTCTTCGTATTTCGTGAGGGCGGGTTTATAACGATGGTCATATGCAAGTACTCGGGCAAAGGTCACAAATAGAAGAACAGCCTTTCCTCTAAGTTCCCGCCAGGGGCGTCGCCACATACCACTACGAATCCATTCCCAATAGCAGGGGCTGGACTTTGGAATATTTCTGCTACCCCGTAGTACAAATGGTTATGCACCCTGCCCCGTCTATGCAGAAAGGACTGGTACCCTAACCCACGGGTGTCTCTGATAAAGCACCCGCCGCCCCCTGCCGATCCGAGTACATCTTGTGCTTTAGAGAAGTTGCCTCGCCCTCAAGGCTGCACCATTATTTTCGCAGGTCGCAAGGAGGAGAGAGCACATGCACCGAATAGGAGTACAGACAGAAGAAACACTGTGCAGATACTGCCAGAAAGAGGAGGAGACCGCAGAACATATTCCATGTTTCTGTGAAGGTTCTTGTAACTATAACAAGAAAAACCACTAAGGAGCTGCTGGCAAAGCTATGAAAGCTGTTTACCAACCTGAAGCTGGCCAGAGAGTTATAAAAAACAGGGTAGTACTGTAGATCTACTTAGGTCGAGGTGCAGTAGGCCTTGTGGCCGCCTCTTTTATCCCTTTGGACGGTTACAGGGAATTATTTATTTAAACCAAAACAAGGGAGAAAAACACGCAAAGCTAGCACAGATACAATTTCTTTCAGTTTTGGCACAAGCTGGCTGATGATAAACGAAAAACGCAGGGGATGAATTGCGACAAAACTCGAAAAATATTCGCCATTTTTTAAATTGCTGTGTCAACTGAGATTAAAAAGTAGGATTTTTTTAAAGGTCTGTTATTCCCTTCTTTTGGAACTAGTCCACCCTGAAAAATGTCCAACCTTTCGGCCCATAATCCTCAAAGGATTTTCCCATTTTAGTCCATTTTTAGTCGGATCTTTTTAAACATACGTATTTTTACGACCTAAAAAGTAGGCCAGACAAGGGAGCAACAGTTTATTTTGTACAAGAGGATGGTAATTATTATACAGCTTGGGCAATTTTTATAAAAAAGAAGGTGGTTTTAAGTTTATATTTCAATGTATTTTACGCTACATTTTAGAAAAAATTGAAAAATCGGACGCAACTTCTTTCAATTAAAACTGTCTTTTGATGCAAATTAACATAATAATTTTATTTACGATATAAATTCATATTTGATTGTTTATATAATCAATTCTTTTCTTTCTTTTAAATTCTTTTCCTTACAGCAAGACAACTTATTTTCCTGCATAGTTAGTTAACAATAAAAAAATGTAATGAAAAAAGTATAACTTGCTTTGACATTTTTCGGTTCTTTTATGTCAATATATTTCACTCATAGATAATAATATAAACACAGGCAAAACCCAGCGAAACAAACCGGACATGCATGGAGAAAATGAACCTTTTGAGGATCCAAACGATAAATGCACACTGTATGTAGGGTTAATAATACAAATATAATTGTAATAAAAAACGAACAACGCCTTGAATCTTTTAAGTTGTTTATGCCAATATATTTCAAGCATAGATAATACAAAAAGAGGCAGAAGCCAGCGATACAAAGCTGACATTCATAGAGAAAATGAAAATTTCAAGGATCCAGACGGTAAATGTGCTTAGGTTTTCACTTTCTCACAAGTTCTACGGGACTAATTCATTATAATTGTTTTCATACTTTATTTTCAATTTGTCTTTAAGATTTACTGATACATTGGTTATTTCCATTTTTTGGACATCATTCTTACTTTGGAATGCAATAACGTAATCATCATCATGATCAATTTATTTTTTCAAAACCTGAATTTTTACAAGATAATTGTGAAAATGGATTGCGATTTTTTTTTCGTCCTTCAGAATTAAACAACACCCTGGACATATCCAACACTTATTCTGCTCGTAATCCTCACAAGATCTTATCTTTTTGTATCTATCTCTCTTTCTTTCTCTCTCTCTCTCTCTCTCTCTCTCTCTCTCTCTTCTCCCTCTTTCTCTCCCTCCCCCTCTCTCACTCCCTCCTCTTACTATGTCTGTCACTCTCTCACTCCCTCTCTCTCTCTCCCTCCCTCCATCACACCTTCACTCTCTCTCTCCATCACTCTCTCCCTTTCTCTCTCTCCCTTTCTCTCCCTCCCTTTCTCTCCCTCCCTCCATCATACCCTCCCTCAGTCTCTCTCTCTTTCTTTCTCTCTCTCTCTCTCTCTCTCTCTCTCTCTCTCTCTTCTCCCTCTTTCTCTCCCTCCCCCTCTCTCTCAATCTCTCACTTCATCTCTTCCTCACCGACATATGTACATTCAGACGATTTTAGTTGCTTTAAAGCAACATTACAACATTGGTCCTCCGGGCGGATGACTCAAATAACCCTGCACACTTGGTAGTTAGAATTGCTATGTGGTACTACTTTATAGGTTTTTTTTCTATGTTAAATTTCTCTCCCTCTCCCTCCCTCTCTCTCACTCTCTCTCTCTCTCTCTTTCTCTCCTTCTCTCTCTCTCCCTTTCTCTCCCTCCCTCCATCACACCCTCTTTCTGGCTCTCTCTCTCTCTCTCTCTCTCTCTCTCTCTCTCTCTCTCTTTCTCTCTCTCTCTCTCTGTGTGTCTTTCTCTTCTCTCCCTCCCTCTCTCTCTCTCCCTCTCCCTCCCTCTTTTTCTCCTTCTCTCTCTCTCCCTTTCTCTCCCTCCCTCTCTCTCCCTCCCTCCATTACACCCTCTCTCTGTCTCTCTCTCCCTCCCACTCTCTCTCAATCTCTCATCTCTCACTTCATCTCTTCGTCACCGACATATGTACATTCAGACGATTTTAGTTGCTTTAAAGCAACATTACAACATTGGTCCTCCGGGCGGATGACTCAAAGAACACTGCACACTTGGTAGTTAGAATTGCCATGTGGTACTACTTTATAGGTTTTTTTAATCTGTGTTAAATTTCTTATTGCATGTGTAAAAAGCCTGGTGATATATTCAGTGTCAACTGTTGCGTGAGAATGTATTTATAAGCCTGAATGTGTGTTTAGTACAAAAGCGTCGATAGATGGAACCTCAAAGGACTAAACGTTATAAAGAAATTGGTCCACTCTCACTGGTGACTTAAATGAACGGTGTATCCGACAGTTACAGCAATTTCACTATGTTATCTAATTCTAAAAATTGTAGTGACTATATAAAATATGACATGAAACCAACGTACGGTTATATGATATATGCTAAGTTAAAATTCCTAACCCTCTCCCCCTCAATATATTTCTAATCTGTAAAAAAACAATAAAAACGAGCCCGTGCAAAATTAAAACAGATCTTGCGAAAAATACGAGGACAAAGTTTTGATCAGGGAAACTATAATCGTTCTAGATCGAACCGAAATAGAACTAGGGCGGTTGGAGCGAATCCTTTTTATTATATTTTCATACGCAAACAATAAATGCCAGGGACGAGATGGGATTATTTTGAACGGCCTATTTGA